ATAGAAATAACGGAATATTATATTATATAAATGACATCGAGACGTCACTTGAAGATTTATTCAATATATTTAGGTATGTCGCTCATGGAGATTCAATGGTGGTGATTGGCAGGTCCGCCCAGAGGTTTTCAGGGTCCTGGGGCAGAACTAAACCGGAGACATCTTGGAAGCCACTGTATGGATGGGGATAGCTGGTTGGGAGCCATTTTGGGACCTTGGCATTGGGTCTCACTGGAGATTCACGAGGTCCGGGGCAGATTGTCCCTGATGCCCCCCTCCCCTGGACGGGCCTGGTGATTGGCATCATCTACCGCCGAAGTCATTTCACCAAAAGAGCCGCCACAGTGGCGTGCCCAAAGGGGAGGGGGGGGGGATTTGGGGTCATAACCCCCCCCCCCCCCCCTTCTTGGGGTCAATTTTACCGGTTTGATTCTCACAGATTTTTTTTAAGTTGTAAGTTAGTAACCCAACCTTTTTTAAGTAACCCACCCAAATACAGGGTGGGTTATCAGTTTTTTCATATGTTAACCTCCCCCCCCTTCCATCAGGGTCGGTAACCAGTGTTTCATATGGCAACCTCCCCCCCATTCGGGTTTCCTGGGCACGCTTCTGAGCCGCCAAAATATTATCTAAGACTTGCAGTCGGTAAATACGCAGCACGAGCCACTGCGAAGATGTGACAGAAACGGACTCCTCCGATTCTGTTGCAAAGCGAACTGCGATCGAATGCGAAGGTCCCACGCATCCCCAATACGACTGATTGCAACGAACTGCGATGGTCGTAGCAGTCGCAACCTAGCTCTTCGCAGTTAGTGAGCATTGGCCCTAAGGCCGATGCACACTGCGAATGGCTGCGACAAAGCCACACTGCGACCGTATGCGAAGCATCTCCCACACTGGTCACAGAGCTCTCAAGCGAAATCCAACATGGCTGTGTACAATTTGAGAGCTCGTGCTGTAACACTTTTGCTTTTTTGCGGCCCAGGGGGGTAAAGCTCTCAACAGTGGTACGTCTTGTACACAATTCCCGTCATCAGATGGGAGAATTTGCAACCCTAATTGAAAATATTATCACCGAAGACAAGGAGCTTTTTTTCTGCATTTCCATGAGAGTATCTCCTGAGTTGTTGAAGACCCTTTGTGGTCTGCTGGAGAAGATAGCAGGAAACAAACTTCAGACCATAAGCGTAGCGTGGATGGAAAAAGTGAGGGGGCACAGGCAGTGCCGTACCGAGGATATTTGGCGCCCTGTGTGAGATATCAAGCCATCCGCCCTCCCTCTATACCTCTTCAGATTCTCCAGCACCAACATGACTTTACGTATTAATTATGTTTCTATGTTTAGTTAAATTCAGGATAATTTGCCTTTCTTTTACAGTTTCCTTCATATTTTATAGTGATTTGGCAGACAATCGGCATCCTGTGTAGGGCGCACCGCTCGTACCCCCCTGGGTACGGGCCTGTCACTCCCCAGTCTTCCCATTATCTTCTTTTTTGCCGCTCCTACCACATATGATCCTCATCCAAATCTCCTATTCCGTCCGTGCGTTTCCTAGCAGTTTCTTCATTTCGAATTTCGTTTCCATTTCCTCATATAGCATGCTGAAAGCGATGGCTTTGTTTTTGTTTCCTTTAAACAAAAATAGGTCATTTTTGTCAAAGAGTGAGCAGTGCGAAAACGACAACCTTCTAAAAGTCATCATTTCATTTCATCTCCTTGACAAAGCATTCGTTTTCGGTTGTTTTACAAGACTATGCACTTATAGTCAAATTTTAAGAGAAGAAAGGTATTCAGGGGGAGATTTGGGAGGGTCGGTTCAAATTCGTTTAATTTCGACTAATATTTTTAATCGCAATTAGAAATTTAATCTATGATTCTGTTGATGAACCTAATCAATTGACAGCCCTGGAATAAAGCGATCTTTTACCTTTTCAAAAATGTTAGATTTCTATTTCTAATTAGATGTACAGAACGGTTAGAAGAACGTCCACTCACAGGCGTAGTTCTCATGATACTGGTCACAAAGCAAAGCAAACGTAGAAAAATTAGCAAATGTATATAACATTTTTAGAAAAATAAGTTTGCTGATCTTCCGCGAAGAAAAATTCAAAACGTCTGTCACCTATGACTTCAACTTACTGACTTCTATTACATTATATTATGAAGAACAATGCATTTGAAAGTGAAATCTCATCTATGACAGCATTGATAGAAGTATTACAGTCGATTCACAGATTCATTTTCACTAACGAAAATTTCTTAACTACGGCAAAACTTTTGGTCATAGTAAAGGTAAACATGTGCATTTTCCTCGATTACGCGAAACACGTTTTTTTGTGATGACTTTTGTGATGAAGAGAGATGTGTGGTCAATTTTTTACTTTTAGTGGGCGCCTGTAGAAAATGAATCTTGGAGAAGGGGGGGGGGAGAAAATTTCATTTTGTAGTGGAAAATCATATTTCACTTCTCATCTGAAATGAAAAATTAACGTAGAATTTATATAGTTTTGTTTCATGTAATTACGATGAATTTGTACAATTTGTATGGTATTTTTTTAATAATTCAGCAGCCAACAGGCGCCCCCCTCAATTCGGCGCCCTGTGTGGGGGCACCGCTCGCACACCCCCTGTTACGACACTGAGCACAGGACAGAGTGGGGGGGGGGGGGGGGCACGCGAATTCTGGGATGGTGGGATACATGCATTTCTGGGTCTTTTCCTCTTTGGTGGCTTTTTTTTCTTGAAAAGTGGGGGGGGGGGGTCACGTGCCCCCCCTTACCCCCTAACGCTACGCCGCTACTTCAGACCATGCATTTCCCCAGCGCAAGCGGTGGCAGTGACACGGAATTGGGTAAATGCATACTCCATATAAATGTTGGGTTTTTCGTAAGAAGACTAGAAATTGCCCGCAGGCGGCTGATTGCCGTACTGATACTGTACTTAGTACTCAACCGGATACTCACCGGATACGGCTATCAAGAAAAGATTTGGCGGGTAGGTAAAGAACACGATTGCAGTCTGGTGGATATATGGGCCTGGGTTTCTCACAGGAACTACGAACGACTACAACCTCGTCAATTTACTGGCCATCCGATAGATACAAATCTCTTCTACAGATGAAAAATCCAAATGACCCCTCGTTGTCCTTCTCCAGTTCTTCTTCATCTCTGGGTCTCGGGGGAACCCAGAATCCCGTCCCCGTTCCGTCGCTGAAACGAAAAATAAACAAGGGACCCAGTAGTAATCCCAATAATGGTCCAAGATGGGTGCCAATGTTGAGCCAAGATGTATATTCCTTGGCAGCCGATATTGATCCAATATTGGGGTACTACTGGGGAATAACCTACATTGGGCCAACGTGTCCTGAAGTTAGAGGACCACATTGGGCCAACGTGAACCCTACGATAAATGTTATCTGGGTACTGTCCGGCCACAAAAACACAAACTCACTGACCAAGAGGGCAACGTTGGAATAGAGGAACCTTTCTGTGATTATTGTCCAAAATTGACAAAAATGCCATGTTATGGTGCAATAAAAAGTGCTTTTCTCTTCTTTCCAACAGCGCTTAGTGAATTGCGGTGTATGTTTCAATATGGCCGCCCTCACTAGTACTCTCGCATTCATCCTAGGAGTTGAGCGTTTCTTTCGATAGTGAGAGTGGTGGGGCCAGTTGAGTTTCATTTCCAGAGCCTATCATCAGGAGAGTGATGTCCACAGGATGAAGCGTGTGTTTAGGAAATAAAAAGCCTCGGTGTTCAGTGGTCCCGTAACGAAGCTTACCCACGAGTCTTACGTCTTGACTGTCAAGCTGACGATAGGGAGACTATGGATGAGCACATAGCTTCAGACGGGCTTGAGGCTAGGGAACTAGGCATTTGATTCTTTTGAGAGATTGTCGTTGACAACTTGGTTCCAGAATTGTGCCATGATGTCTTGTGCCCTCATACCTTTCCAATGTACATCGTGAACCCTGCCATCCTCTCCCATCGCCCTTGTTTCATTGCCCAGTGGAACCACTCATACTGTCGTATAACCATGGGTTTATGCATGCAAGTGTGATGAGAAGAGTTGAAGGTAGGGTAGGCTGGATGGCGAGAGAGGACGAAAGAAAGCCAAGGGACTGCCAGGAATTGAACCCAGGCCTCCTGATTGCTGGTTAGGTGTGCTACCATTACATCACCGAACCCAGGACATTCAGTCGTGCCTCTCAATGCCATTCTTATCACACAAGTCTATTTGCATAGAAACCTCTAAATTTGCCATCTGTTGTGCTAATAGGTAGAAATGTTAGCAGTAATGGTTAATCGAGTACTTAAGTTTTTCCTTGAGCAGTGGTTGTAAATAGGCTAATAAGGTAATAGACCTACAGGACTGGTATTTGTTAAAAAATGAGAAAGAACAAAAGAACTTGGTAGCCAAAAGGTCCTCTGACAAGGATGAAAGGAGTTTTATTTCAAGAAACAGGGTATCTGATTGTCCAGGAAGCAGGGAACAACACATTATTGATAACTTATGTTCTCCTTGTGAATTATACTACTCACAACTATCAGATGGCTTATATAATAATAAAAATATTTTGTGAATCGTATTCTCCATGTGAGCAAATATTATACCTCGGGGTGGGGCATATGATTCTATCCTAACCTGGTCGTCTAAATTAAGTTGCATCTTTTTCACACCTGCCATAAAAATGCATTGACTACCACAGAAAATTTTACTTTGTCATTTGTGTATCTGTCATTGCTCTAGCATGCATTGTGAATAGAGATGCTTATGAAGCTACTTGTGCAGGAACTTTATCAGGGAGGTCTTTGAGGAAGTTGCTGCTCTTATTTGATGTCATGAGTTTTGAAAAAAGTGCATGAATATGGTATCTTTTCCACTTACTAGACCTAACCTTAGCTCCTAAGCTGAATTTGTGAGTATCAAGCCTACAGTAACCTTTTCCAGATATGGTAAAGTAGAATCGAATCTGGAATGATTATGTTTGCTTGAAACAGATTTTTGACCTAGTCAAGACATTGAAGATGCTTAAGTGCTCAGAGCTGGAGGAGGGTTTCTTCAATGAAAATTGTGATTTGCCTTCACTTATAAAGGAGTCATTACAGACATTCTTCAAGGCTCATAAGTGTGATGAGGATGCTTCCCTGAAGTAAGTACTGCATCTTTCATATTCTTCAGTCTGTTCATCAATCCCTATGCCTTCTCACTTTACTTTTTCAATTTAGTCTCCCAGATTGTGAATGCAAGAGAATTATGCTTATTCAGAGCTCAAGTTCTTAGGATGGAGAAACAATGTTTTTGGAAAAGAAAGTGTGTCAATTGGAGGTTAAGCCTTCCTCATGTATGCCCAGCTGAGTTGAATTCTGGGTTGCAATGTGTTGTCTTCACCCAGAATGAAAAGTTATGAGCACCATGATGGCCTGGCACTCTTGTTTTGGCAAAATTTGCAATTGGTCATTGGTATAGCCTTTTGGACATGAGAGAAGAAAAAAGCTCCTGGCCTACTTTAAGGAAGGCCTTGCCTAAGCTGTAGTTCCAGATTCAGGTGAACTTATTCCAACTGAAGCAAACATTTGGCTGTTTCCTCATTGGAACATCCTGCAATGCAGTATATAATTTTGCTTTAATAGTAACATTTAGTGGAATGGGATTTGAATTGAATTAATTCTGTTTTGAATTGACTTCATATCACCCAGTGATTGTTTACATTAAAATTTGTATAGCTAGTCTAAAAATTAAAAATTGTGAATTTGAAAGTGACATCCGAAGGTCATTCCAAATTTGCTGTAATCCTATAGCTGTTGTACCTAAGCAGCTTTTTTTTCTATTTGATCATTTTTCCATAATTTCTCTATTTGGATTTGATGACACATTACATCATAAACCAACAATGTGGTACTTTTGTTTGCCTTACACTTCTGGTTAAGTGACTGATGATGGTGACCTGTGCTGAAATTTTTTATTACTTTATATCTGGACCATGAAAAAAGACAGTAAACTTCATTGAAGAGACTGTGTTTCAGCATGAGTTGTGTTTCTTTCCAGTTCATTGGATGATATTTTCATGAAGTACATCATCAGCATATTGGAAGAGCTTGGCTGTGAAGAACACCCCCAAGATGTGTTTGATGTTGAAGCTTTTGTGGAAATGATGTCAGCATGCTTCCCTTCATTCAGCACAATCTCCCAGACAGACATCTGTACTTGGATGTTTGAATTGTCAGCACAACTTCAGACTGCCAAAAATCGTGAGAGCCTCAAATCTTCTTGTGCTGGTTCTCAAGAGTATGTCTCAGTTTTTTGACTCATTGAGCATGGCTGCTTTTCTTCCCTAGACATGGGTAAGGGTATGAGGCTGATTAATGATGAAATGGGAAGCACTTGTTCAAGTGGATCAAATGCTAGTGGAGACGAAAGGGAGATGATTAGAAGTCGCACAGTTTCCTCCTCTAGTGAAGCTTCTGCATATTCTTGTTCTTCTTCTAGAGCTTCGCATAACAGCGAATGCTCCGACTGTGATGCCTGGGCTACACAGGTAAAATTTTGCTCTTTGATATTGTGATTGCTTGACTTCTTACTAGTGAAGCTTCTGCATATTCTTGTTCTTCTTCTAGAGCTTCGCATAACAGCGAATGCTCCGACTGTGATGCCTGGGCTACACAGGTAAAATTTTGCTCTTTGATATTGTGATTGCTTGACTTCTTTTGTTTCTCTTGGAAAAGTTGCTCATTCCTACAATTCTGATGATGGCTTCTATCTCTTTTCATAAAGTTATTTTTCATATGGGCCTTTCTGTGTCAAGATTTAAGTGTCTATGCTTAATCATCTTGGATTTCCTTGAAAAATGCTCTTTGGTGATATGAAAAACAGGATAGATCAAGGATTGCAGTTTCCTATGGCAAAATGTACCAAAGTATTGTCAGTCTAAGTCTTAACAAAATGGCTGGCTGACCAATGCATGCTCCAAGTAGTTTAATTTCAAATGTAATCTCAGTACACTAGATTCTGATAGTAATTATATTTATGACACTCAGCAATGACACTTTTCACATGTGGACATCATTATTATGCTAGTATATTATGTTATTCCTGTTATGATATAATTGTTATTTTATTATTTTAAATTCAAGATCCCTGGGATGCAACCAGAGATATTGGTGGATCAGATGAGGAAACATTAGAAAGAAATACTTACTTGAATATAGCTAGAGAGCTATACAGAGTTTCTCAAAAGCCCTGAACTATTTTTGTATTCTCATCTTTTTTACTAGGTTGAGGAAAAAGTTCGTGCGCCGTATTAAAATAATGATTTTTTATATTTTTTTGTGTTTTTGATCTGGTTTCGTGGCTATTATGAAATTTTATTGATTTTTTAAGATGTCTGATTACGAAATCACAAATTTTGAGCTTCGCGTATTGCTGCGTCATTATTGGAGAAAGAATTTGGATGCAAGAGCAGCTGCGAAAGCAATTTGTGACGTTGAAGGTGAAGGTACGGTGGCACCGTGAACTGCCCAGAAATGGTTCAAGCATTTCAATGAAGAAGATTTGGATCTTGAAGACAGGCCACGTTCCGGACGACCAACGGTTCTGGACGAAGGAGACTTGCAAGCCGCTTTGGATGTTGAGCCGTCATCAAGCACACGCGAATTGGCTGAAATTCAGCCAATTCGCGTGTGCTTGATGACGGCTCAACATCCAAAGCGGCTTGCAAGTCTCCTTCGTCCAGAACCGTTGGTCGTCCGGAACGTGGCCTGTCTTCAAGATCCAAATCTTCTTCATTGAAACGCTTGAACCATTTCTGGGCAGTTCACGGTGCCACCGTACCTTCACCTTCAACGTCACAAATTGCTTTCGCAGCTGCTCTTGCATCCAAATTCTTTCTCAAATAATGACGCAGCAATACGCGAAGCTCAAAATTTGTGATTTCGTAATCAGACATCTTAAAAAATCAATAAAATTTCATAATAGCCACGAAACCAGATCAAAAGCACAAAAAAATATAAAAAATAATTATTTTAATACGGCGCACGAACTTTTTCCTCAACCTAGTATTTATTACTGGTCTTAATTGCAATTAGTGTATGAATTATAACCCTGCAGATAAGCATCCTTTTAGCCACCATGTTGAGTTCACAAGAGCAGCTTGAAGTTGTGTATTATTGCTGACTATCCAATCTAATTGAGATGGTCTGTTCAACAAGTGTGCCACCTAAGTCTGTACTTCAGTACAGGCTCAGGTGGCAGAGTAAGGATCCTGAGCTCAGAAATGGCATCTTATCCCTCATTTGAAGCATCAGTGATGGAATTGTATGGATGTTATTGAGATGGGGAAAGAAATGTCAGGATTGATAAGTGAATAGATGAGACAATTGACAATTGGTCATCAGTCTTGAGAAAGTTGAGTCTGAAAAGGAAATGGTGTGGCCAAGAATGTGCTTATGTTGTCAGGATTAATTGTCAGCACTATGTGCCTTCTTCCATCACTGGAACAGTCCTTGTCTGGGCTAATAGGGAATGGAAGAGTTGAAAATGCACAAAGTAAGGAGTGTTTCTCATTCCAGTAGCCTCTTCCCAATGAAACCCTATCTGTACATCCAAATCATGTTCCCTGAGATGAGCTGACCCAAAGAGGCATTTGTGGATTTGATATGATAAGTAATGGGATTGAAAAAGTTTCCTGAATATGACAACTTCTTTTACAATCTCCTCATCCCATTTTCCTTTTCTACCCCTTCCCTTCCTTCTTTGAAAGAACATAAGATAAGTCTTTCAATCAACTCTGCAGGTGTCAATCACTGATATTATGACCTTCCAAGCAGCAGGAGATGCCATTGCACAAGGATTCAGGAAACTGACTGTACTAGATTGTGTAGCATATGAAACAGCAATGACAATACACACATTTTTCCAAGAGTATTTTTTATTTATATAAATTCTGTAAAGTTGCAGTCACAGTTGGGCACTTCCTAGCACCATGTTTTAAGTTGGTGAGGAAAGAGTGCTGCCTGGAAGGCTTTATCCAGAAAAAAAAATCTTTGGGATGCTACAAATTGCAACATGGGAACACAAGCAATGTGAAGATCTGAATATTTCTTATGAGTGCATTTTTGACTGAAAGAGTACTAATTGCCCCCTCACAGCACATTTTGAGTTGAAAGTTTGGAAACTTGTCATTCAATACAGGAAGGCTAGATATGCAGTGGATTATTTCCTGCCTAAAGTGATTATTTACTGCTACTTTTAGTATCTTTTGATATTTGGGGGCAGCCTCCTTTATGGGTACCCATCCTCCACTATCATCCATGATACCAAAGAGCTTGAAAATTTTAAAGGAAATCTATGGTGCTCGAGTACTGACTCTAGACAAGTTTACATTGAGTGGCCTATATTTGAAATGGATTCTTTTCCCTATGTTCAGTCAGTGGAAGAAGATGATGACTGGAGAGCTCTCACAGAGATGTTCCCTGCAGTGTGTTCCTTTGAAGCAAAGCATTGCCTTTCTGTATCTGGTGGAGATCTGGGTGCTGCTGTTCAGCTCTTGCTTCATAGGCAAGAGAATGGCTTGGCTATGAAAGCAAAACCTGTGAGTTTAGGCATTGAGTTGGTAACAAATATATCCTGAAATTTTTTATGCTAGCCCCTTTATACCCAAAGGTATGAGGGTATGGTTTAGAGCAGGGGTGTCAAACATATGGCCCGTGGGCTGGATCCAGCCCACAGAGGTGGTTCACCTGGCCCATCGTCGGTTTGTGAAATTTCTGCTCGGATTGACTGGCAGCACAAATTTCAGTGAAAAATTATGGGTTTGGCCCATAGACATTGCAGGGTAAGGAATGCAGCCTGCTGACTGATTTTAGTTTGACACCCCTGGTTTAGAGCCACCAAGTTTCAAGCATTATTTTTTTAAACTTCATCGATAAAATTTTATTTAAGAACAACTTCATCAGAAGATTTATCTTCAAAATAAGAACTAATTGATGTATTTGCAATTCTTGGTTATGTCTTAGGTTATGTCTTGGTTATGTACATGTCTTGAGCTAATTAAAGAGAGGGAACTTTGAAGTTCTTGTAATTTTTATGGTGAGGGCTTTTTTTTAACTTTTAATGTCTCTTTGTTTGAAAATTTTGGAAGCTCAGTAATGAAATATAATAGTAAAATATTTGTTTAAAAAAATTAGTACTTTTTCATTTTTAAACACTATTGTTATCCATAGTTTCTGTTCAAAAAACTTGATTCCCTTTGGTACCACTGGGAATAGAAATGTTCATTTATTGAAAGGTCACCAAATGACAGTAAGACAACAAAGTGCCATGGGACCTTGCAAGTATGTATGCTTGCAGGGGTTCATTTGAATTAATGTGTCCCAACTTCAGGAGTGGATGTTTTTTGTGGGACTTCGGTCAATTGATCTGGGATGACTGGACTATTTAAATACATTCAATCAACTCTTAAACCATTTTTCTTCAAAGAGCTATGTTAGCCCATGCTCTTGAATTTTCATCTATGTCAAGCGTGACAGTCAACTGAAGTTTCTCTCCCACACTATATGTGCCTTCATTATTACTATGATTGTTGCTATCACTCATTTAATTTTGGATTTGGAATTAATTAAGTTGCAAAAGGGTTGATGCTAGCATATTTCCAATTTCCTGCCACTGTTTGTGCTTCACAGCCTGAAGCTGTGTAAGGTGTATTTCCTTTAGTCAACAGAAATCCTATAATATATCTTCTTTCAAGCTTCACACTCCTATCCTTCCTCATTTTCCTCCAGCAAGAGTATAGGAAGTTTGACAGGAGTGGCAAATTCCTCTACCCCCTCCCTTTCTATTTTTTCTCTGAGTGGGGCCAAAGGCTGCCTTTTCCTCTCGCTTTCTTCCAGTTAGATGAATATCTGCATGCAGTGGGAGAAATTCTGCCATACCCACATACAGAATTCCACTTGTTAGGTGTTCTGGTCATTTGTCCCCTATTTAAGAGAATGTTCCTACCCCAATGCCCTTCAGACCTTGGAGTACCTATGGCAAGTTATGTTTATATAGGCTTCATAGTCAAATTATTTGGACATGAAAGGGTTAAGGGCTGAATTGTGTTTTCAAGTATGGTATCAGGAGTTGTACGTTTGTGTTGCTTTTGTACTTCCAGGCAGCAGCACATAAAGGTCAAAGGCAGCAGGTGGCCCTTGATGACCAATCCATCAAGAAGAAAATCATTGAGCAGTATAGTTATATTGATCAAGCTGAGGATGCCAAGGATCATAAGCCTCCTCCACTGAAGTTTGTAAGTAATCTTTATGCCAACCTCCCCTTCTGAAGCTTCTGGCAGCTCTTCTGAAATAAAGAGCTGCCAAGGGGAGGCAATATGAATAGGGAAAGAAGCTTGAAGAAATGATGAAAGAGACTTTGGTAACAGTTTCATATAAATTATTTGTTGGTTGCTTGCTAAATACAGTCACTCAGTTACCATATTAGTTGGGATAGTTACCACCTAGTGGCTGTATCTAGTTGGTTCCCATGCTTTAGTACAAGTATTTAATACAAGTATTGATGAGCAACAATTGGAGAATTTTGTAAATTGATTAACCTTTACACACTGAGCATTTCCAAATTCAAGCAGAATATGGCAGTAGAAAATTCGAATTTTGCCATATTCCAAGAACATGGAATCTTCCTTTGCCCTCCAATAAAAGGATAATTCCATGCTCTTTAACACGTTGACGACCAGCCTATTTTTGCTTGTCCGCCGCGTGGGACCACGCACATTTTTTTTGTCAAAAAATGCTTCCTGTCATCAGGATGCATGGTCCCAGAAAACATTTTTTTTGCTGAGTTTTTTTAAAATGTTGAATTTTTTGGAATTTTTATCAGTAATTACGAAATCATAATCTTCTGGAACGTTCTCAACAGTTCCAGAGGGTATTCATTGAAAAAAAATCTGCATCCTGGCATCAGGATGCATTGTCGCCAACGTGTTAAATATAGCAAAATTTGCATTTTTCCACTTTCATGCTCTGTTTGAATTTGGAAACATTCAGGCTGTAAAGGTTAATACATGGATCTGTTATTAGTATGTCCTAATTCAGCCAATGGGGCAAAAATCATTTCATGTAATGCTTGGAAAGTTGGATTTACCTAATGAAATTATAACAAGAATAATAGATGATAGAGAAGAATAAGTGATTTATCAAAGTTTCCAGTAAATTCTGCTGTTTATTTGCTGTCTTTGATGGTTTTTGATATTCCTGTTAGGTGCATCTTTCATGTGACATGCACATGTCTCAACAATGCCTCTTTTTATCCAGCTGCATTGCTGGTCCAAATAAGAATTATTTGACAACAGTGGCACCATTGCAAATATTTTACAGTTATTCTATTTCGTGTACATGGAATCATTCTGTTGTCTACATCAATTCTTGTGAGCATGAGTATGGAGTCCAGTAGCTCTCATCAAAAATTGATATGACCCTCTAGCATAATAGCTACACCCTTCCTATCTTCCACCATCTGACCTTTGAGGACCCTGACCATTCGCAAGAATGGTCTGGTACCTGGCTAAGTATTTGGGACCCTCTGCTTCAGAGCTTTTTATGCATTTACACTCTAGCTGTTGTGCTAATTATCATACCTGGATAGCATTAGGCACCTTGAGCAACCTAATTGAAAAATTCCTTTCACTTCAATCCTTTCTTCTTGTTCTGGCTTCTTCCATTCTTGAACTGGTTACACCAACTAGTTATATGAAAAGTTGAAGAGTACTATTATAATCATTTGCCTGTGTTACCAGTTGTTCCAACTCTCAGCTAGAGAGTCCCTTGGTTGAAGAAACCCTGTATGCTCCAGATCACAAGGAGTGACAACATAAAACTTGGCAGATATTCTCTGCACTGGTTTTGGAAATCTCCCAATGAACATTATATGCTGTAAATACAAAAATAATAAATGATGATAGTAATGGTGTTATCTAACTCTACTGAACACAGTCTTGATGTTAGGCCTAACTGATTCTAGGTAATGGAGTTGGTATGAGTAGATTCATCAGCAGGTATTTCCTAGGGTCCCACAATTATTTCATGGAAGGGTTTGAGTGCTCATATAGATTCATGATTAATTTTTTAGCAGTTGTCTTATTCCTTTATTCCAGGAACCAAAGAAGATGATTCGTTACCGAGAAGGCCAGGTCGTTAGTGTGAAGGGGGAGCGCTACTCTGAGATCAAAGATAAGGACAAAGAGGCATCAAAGAGGACATACATCCACCTAAAGCCAGCCAAGCAATATCATTTCCACTGACTATGGCCCTGCCTCTTCCACCCTCAAAGTCTTTCTTCTTGATGGTGGCTGAATCTTAGCTTTTTTCATTCTTCGGAAATTCTTTTCTCATTTCATGGATCTCCATCTGGAAACCACCCTAGAATTCAAATCACTTACATTCCTCTATTTGTATTCCTATGAAATTAGGATCTTACTCACCTCAATCTTTTACTCACATTGTCATACTTGATTTTGCACACAGAACAGGTGCTGTTTCATTTCTTCTCTTGAGGTTAGGATGAGGCCTAAAAGGCTGACTTTCTGTGTGATGTTGGGTAATTACGCTCTTCCCCTGAGCCCCCCCAGAACATTCTTTTATTTTGTTCTTTTATCATATTCTGGTTAGTACAAATCTCTCTGGGCCTGGTTATCTACTTTAGCTCTTTTGCTGTGGAATGTCTGAAAATTCATTTTTCCTAGTCTATGAAGTTTGACATTTTCTGGCTTTCATGATGTCAGGATGGTTCTTCAAACTGCCCTGAATGTGACATGAATATAAATACAGACTTTTTACTTTACCACATCTTTAAGTTTAATTTTGGAACATGAATCTATGAACTCAAGATCTTAAATTTTGTCCTCATGCAAGTGCTGGAATCTTGCTGCAGTCATCCAGCAAAGGCTTTGGTAAGACTTTCAGAAACACCACTGAAAACCAAATATTTTTACTTTGTGCTTGTGGCCACATTGATAATCACAATAATTCAGTCAACTCTCAAGAGATTGCAGAGCATATCTTTTCCTGAAGAATTAGGGTGCATTAAAAAATCCTATAACTACAGCACTAGAAAACTGCAGGTTGCATGAACATGATTACCACAGTGAAAGAGTTCATATTTTCTGGACATTCATGGTAGAACCTTTTTTACATTCGTTTTCAATCTTTATATATGGTTTATTTGTTTTGTTGTGATAATTCATGCTTTGTCAAGTACAAATATTATTTATCTTCTTCTTGGAACTTTGAGAGAGAATCCATGTATCCATGTATGTGTGCCCCATTTTGCAGCAGATTTTATTTTATTGCTCTATTGGAGTCATAGACTTGAATATTCCATACCATATACTTTGTTTGCAATGATTCATGATTCGTTAGTATTTGCCAACCTTGTCAGGAATAATGGCCAATTGCTTATTTCTCATTTTTATTCATGAGCATTACCCAAATTAGCTAGTTTTCTCACTCTCTTGTCAATACTTTTGAGTAGCCTATTTAAGACAGTCAATTGGTTGAATGATTCTCATAGTTTAGAATCTGACTTAGATTTCAATGATACATCTCCACATCCTCCATGTTGGAGCAGTAGTGATATTGTAATACTTGTTCAGCATATTCAAGTCATCCTTGAACCCACCCTTTTTTCTCATTTCCTGGGTCCTCATTTCATGGCCATTCATTGGAAATGGTACATGTTGCATCTATGGATTATTCCACTGTTTCCTTGCAATGAATTGACTTGTCACAGGACCTGCTTGTACCAATTGTGTTTCAATGCATCCTAAGCAGACATTTTCTACTCTCAGAATGAGAATCTCGGAAGGAAAGATTGCATGAGTTGATTCATCTAAGTTTTCGGATGGCTAACTCTTCCGTGGCACCACAAACAGGTTATCAGAAGAGAGCAGAGAGTAATAGTGATTGGATAAGTGTCAAAGGAAGTAGGAGTCACATGCAATGTTCTCCTGTGAAGCACACTTGGGATAACATTTATTTGTTGTTTACACAGACGATATAGATAAAAGCTGAGCGAGTAAAATCAGCAAGTTTGCCGACACCAAAATAGGTTTTATCCATCAAAGGGGAGGAGGACAGGCCTGGAACCGAGATGAATTTACAGGTTTTGGATCGGGCAGTCACGATGGCAGTTTTCAAAACGTCGACCTGAGCTGTCGGTAGTGTATCGATGCATGGGGGGGAGAGGGGGACAGGTGCGTCGGAGTGCATCTTTTCTCACCGCGATCGGGCGGAGGTTTGACTTGCGTCGTTTCTTGAGTTGATCGGAGCTCGAACCTCTATCCGTATTCCTTAATCTCACGTTTGTGATAGGGAGATACGGGGAGAAGGTGTGATCTTCACAACGAGTAATGAAGCCTACCATTCCTCCAACTATCGAAAATTACGTCCACTCATCGATGGATGCATCAGGACTAGAGATGTGCGTGAGTCCCGATTCACGCGGGACTCACGACTATTTTCGTGAGTCGCTACTCGCACGGAGCTTCGGCGAAGGCCCTTATCGTGATCGTGACGCGAACAGAATTCACTCGCTCGTGATCGTGAGTTGTTTTCTTTTCCGGCGGAGTTACTTTGCCGGTTTCCACCTCTCCCAGACACTTGCCACGGTTTGGGTAGGACTCTCCCTCTCTACCTCTTTGAAGTTCGAACCCTTGGGAACGTCCGAAACTTCATTTTCTCATACAAGCTTTTTCCTGAAGCCATGGAGAAACCGAAAAAAAACTTTTTATCTCCCAATCATTCGCCGCCTGCGAGCAGATTTCCCCCTGTATGGCCATTGCACTGCGAGCAGATTTCCCCCTGTATGGCCATTGCACGGCTGAGCATGCTATGCAAATGAAGTGTTTCTGTGTTTTGACAAGTTCCACCCCAAGCGTGAGGATTTTTTTTTTTGGGTGCTCCGCGGATTCTGGATGAAGTGAAAGTTCTCTGAAGTCTCTCTGAAAGTTTGGACATTATTTTTCTCCTCAAGAACTTGCGAACAAGTAACTACCACGTAAATAGAGTGTCATCCGGCTATGATATAGTTTCTTACTATTTACTATTTTTAAATGCAATAACTGAACTAATTAATTTACATCATTTTGGAAGGGGAGAGGAAAGGTCAACTGTCACGCGTGAGTTCAATTCACGGTCGCAATGATCGTGCGTATCCGTGAATCTCAAATGGTATTGAATCAAGGGATCGCGTGAAAATGAGTGACAACATGGTTTTTCTCTCGTGATCGTGATCGTGAGTCGAAAATCACTCACGCGCCCACCTCTAATCAGGACGGCCCTAATTTTTTATTGTTGCCGTTGAGAATCAGATGCCAAGCCTGTTCACGTAATTTTTTTTTCTCTTTCTCTTCGTTCCACACGGTGTTCTTTGGACATCGGCACCGGCAGATAGCAACTTGCCGAGGGTGCCATACCGGCGGTTGCCGAAACATCCCTACAGCCCTAGAAGAAGCGACGTCCACGTAAAAAAAATTCCCTTTGGGTTCATCTTAAGTAAAGAGGTAAAATGCCCCAGGGCAAGTTACAAATTCAAAAACTAAAGCCTGCGCACCATAGCGAAACACAGGAAGATAAAGAGGGAATTAACCAATGTATTTCGATATGAAAGGAGTATAAGAAAAGTCCACTTTCACAGCATGCACTTCATGAGATCGAGCCAAAGACAGAAGAGAAAAAAATATTCTTGGTCTTCCCTCCCTCTCTTCCTACTTCCTGTCTCCGATCCAACATGTGTGTTTTTTTAATTCTCATCTTTCATATTGTCAGTCCCAGCATTTCCAGAATTTGATCGTAGTAAGAAATGCTCGCCCATGCTGGTCGCGCTGCTTCTTCCTTTCCCCGACCGGACGGACTGTTCTGTACTGGACTCGCCTCTATCCAACGGGACGTTTCCCTTTTTTTTTTGCTGATACATTGCGATGGTCGAAAAACCTATCGATGCCTCCAACCATCGATAGTGGTGTCGATGCATCGACCTATCGTGACAGCCCTAGTTTTGGACGAGTGGAGTAAATCATGGCTCGTAACCCATACAAAAAGTTACCCCCTCGTTCGTCCGAATTTCACTGCTTTTTCCCCTAATCTTGAACTGAAGGGTCTTCTGACAGGTTGAGAGACGGAGAAATAAACCGGTTTTTTTTTTTACCTCAGTTTCACCGTCCCAATTTTACCTCGGGAAAATTTTTTTAAATGGAAGAGTAAATGTAAAATGTAAAAACAAACTCCATGAATCCACGAACTCAAACGCAGTCCAAGGACTGACCACAACGATCCGATCCCTGAGCCATCCGACTTCTTTATATACAGGGTGGCCCAAAAAAAAGTTTGACCAATTTTGAACGTTAATAACTTTTGACCAAATCGGCCTTTTTTATTGTTTGAAACGGCAAAGCAAAGTTCAATCTAAGTTGCTTCAAAGTTGATCTAACTTTTTTTGGGCCACCCTGTATAGTCCCATTTTAGATGTCGATAGACGTCTTGTCGATCGTCTCATCTGTGGTGTTTCAGAGGATTAACCTGCTACCATTTCTATTGCCTTTTCTTCACCTTTCTTTTCCTTTCCCATGGGAATCTTCATCGGTGATCTGACCGGCATTGTATCCGTAGTCATATTCCCTAGGGGAAACAATTTTCCTTAGGTGGGGAGCAAATAATTAAATGGATTTTTCCCCCTCCAGGTTTAGAGCCTCTTCTGCGACTTTCCTATTCGATTCCGTTTGACCTAGACCTCCCTCGCTTCGGTTCCGGCTCGGTCGGGTGGCAGCCGCATCCCCTCCCACCTCACTCCTCAATGTATCATGGAGATCGGAAACTTTCATTCGGAAACAAATACCTTCGTGCCATCATCGTAGAATTCATCTATAAGGAATTTACAAACGGGGAACCGACCGTTCGGGGAAATAACCATTCGGGGAACTGACTGTCGGGATGTTGACCGTCGGGGAATCGATCGGGAAGCCCGACAGACAAAAGTCACCAGGAATGAGGTTGGGAAATATAGCGCAGACCATTATTCTGGACCTGCCTGCTGATGATCTTTACCGGTTTGCCCAAAGCAGGTCCTCGATCGGATTGGCGATGTGGGACGGAAAACCGTGCGATGTTCTTGCGAACGGATCGAGCGCATCGTGGTCATGCAATTGAGGAATGACGTCCATCCTCTTCCGAATGCTTCATTTAACTCGTACCCCATTCTTCACCGTCCTACCTCCTATAGTGCGTACACACCAGTGTCAAACGTCGTGGAAGCAATTTTATCATCGTTCTGTATTTCACGGATATTCTCATGCCTCGCCTAACTCCCAGTCGAATATGATCTACATGGTAAGTATTAAAAAAATGTATACCAAGCCAGCGCATACTATTTCTTTCATGCGAAGCGTTGAATATAAAAAGAAGCGGTTTCCCCTATCACAAAGAAAGAGTAATCCTGCGCTAACCTACCAATTTCCCCTTCAACATAATAAAAAGCGCTCTGTAAACATGACACTGCGCCTTTTTTTTTATCTTGCTGAGGCGAGAATTGGCGGGTTAGCGAATTCATCTGTCTTTGTGATACGGGAGATCGCATCGTTTTATACTGTACGGCTTGCATTCACAAAAAAGTACGTACTGGTTTGGTCTTTTGTGACCCACTGTGTACAGTCTCTCGTTGATATTTCACTCCTACTCGTGATGCTACTTTCACTTATGGGGATCGATCAGTGCAGGAGTCGTAAACAATGTGGCATAAATATTACATCGTATGTATGTTGTATGAGGTTGCTGTGAGGTTCATGGCGGAGTGGAAATCCTTTCCCTGTAAGTTCTACGCTTTCAAGCCAGCAGTTAAGAAATAGGACATTGTCAGGCTAATTGTCTCTACAAGGACTATTTAAATGCCTGAGTGATTCAGCGAAAGACCTTCGAATAGAACAGAAGATGATGATGTCGGCGATTTCCTTCTTCGGATTGAGAAATGGAAGGTAAATCTCTCTTCAGGTTTCCTGGAAGAAAACCTGAAGAGAGATTTACTGTAAGGTGAGTCGAGGTGGATTTATATAGAGCGGAAAATGGCACGAAAATCTTACCTCGTAAAAAAAAATTAAATTTTAAAATAAAAATTAAAACGTAATCCAGCGGTTACCGCAAGCCTAAAACGGAGACCGCTGGTCGGAAACAGACTCCGTCGACGGAAGGAGCGTAATTTCCGTGAGACAAAGATTTGTTTGATGTAGTTAAGTTTTAATTCCATTTCCTTCCTGTACGATAGCGTTGAAAGTTTCCCTCCAGAAGCGCGATCGTTCGGTATACTGTATGTTCTTCCGTCTGGCCAGACAGAAAATATCCGTTTACATGTTTGACGGTCTTCCGCTATTCGCTTTCTGTGCCGTTTTCCGCCTTGCATAATTCACTTTTAGAGTCTCGCAATTTCTAAACGTGAGAATTCCCCCCCGCCCCCCCCTCCCCCCTCTTCCCCCCTCTTAGACGCTATTGCTGAACAAGGTACAAGACTTGAAAAATCTTAGGTTCGATGAAGGTGAGATATTGCTCGGTGATACACTCAGAGAAATCGATAAATCGAAATTATACACTTATGTCGATTTTCGCATTTCAGATTTATTTATTTTTTAAAGAGGAAAAAGCATCAATTGGCATTTCGATCTTCATCAGTCTCTTCCCGACCGAGCCGGGTCGCCTGAAAA